TTACCTGCTGTGAATAGTCTCCATTGTAAGCTAAAAGATATATTTATAGATGATGACAGAGTAAGTGTCTGCAATGAAATATATTTGTGGGTGTGGGAATGTTGTGTCTGCAACACTGTTCAATGCTGTAACAAAAACAAATATATTTAAATTAGTGAATGATTTGTGTGTTGAGTGCAAACTATTCTTATAAATAATAATGTGAATATTTCATTTTTACAAACACTTCTACTGAAAGAATGTTAAGGTGATATCACCATAAGGTTTCAAACCTTTGATCACTCCATATACATTGGCCACTTTATTTCCTTTCGATATCAAATATAATGAGGGTACAATCATTATATTAATATTTATATGACATTACAGAATTCCTCTCTTACCTCGGTATAGCACTATTGTTCAAATTGTAGGTCAATTTGGTACATCTCATTACCTGTAAAAAAAGTTGCGCAATTGAACTGCACCTGCTAGCATTTTCATGGACTTGAATATATATGGAATGTGAAATTATATATAAAAATTGTGATATATTGGGGGGGGGGGGGGTGTGATAAGCTTCAAACTTATTTTGACCACTTGTGAGATTTGGCTCTCTGACTATATATTGAAAATATATTTAAAAAGTGTGATATATTGGAGGGGGGGGGGGGCTTCAAACTTATGTTGTCCACTTGTGAGATTTGGCTCTCTGACTAGAATTTAACCTATATTTGCATTTATGACTGACTTGTTTGAAACTATTGAGATAAATATATGCTGGTCTAGAGTTTGTTTTGAGATGATATAGCAAAACAGATATGTAGCTGTGCTTGGTGATGATTGAAAAAAACAATACAAATTACACACAACAAAATGAATTTATAGTACATGTATAGTATATTTCAAGGGGCGGACATCTGGACATTTTCATCGCATGGCAACCATCACGGTGAAAACAAAGGCCGAGAACTGTACATAGGGATAGTTTTTGAGACTCTCCTGAACAGTGTAACAAGATTACCCCTACGTGTGGAGTACATATAAATTTGGATTACTTGTTGAGTTTGTGCTGTTTTTTTTACTTCAGCTGTTTCACCGACGTAGAGCCGATAGAAATACACAGTACATGTAGTGGTGCGACTTAGAACATTCTGTGATGTAGCTCTGCCCCGAGATTAAGGAATGATTTTGCAGCGCATAGAAAAGGGGCTTACAAGTTTTTTAAAGGCAACTGTTTTATGAATTTTTACACTTTCAAATTCTTTTAGCTGCAAGTAAGAAAGCATGGTCATGAGTCATATGTATGTATTCATATGAACAATAGTATGGTTTATAGTCTCAATACATGTATCTATAATAGTTGGTGGTTTACAATCTACATATGATTATATGTGTCACCATCTCCATATGAATTCTAGTGCGTGGTTTACAATCTCCATATGATTATATGTGTGGTTTACAATCTCCATATGATTATATGTGTCACCATCTCCATATGAATTCTAGTGTGTGGTTTACAATCTTCATATGATTATATGTGTGGTTTACTATCTACATATGATTATATGTGTCACCATCTTCATATGAATTCTAGTGTGTGGTTTACAATCTCAATATGATTATATGTGTGACCTTCTCCATATGAATTCTAGTGTGTGGTTTACAATCTCAATATGATTATGTATCACCATCTCCATATGTGTAATAGTGTGTGGTTTACAATCTTCATATGATTATATGTGCGGTTTACAATCTACATATGATTATATGTGTGACCATCTCCATATGAATTCTAGTGTGTGGTTTACAATCTGCATATGATTATGTGAGTGAGTTTTGGGTTGTTGTTTCTTTCCTGAAATTCTAAATATTGTATCATACCACTGCTTCTTAGTTATGATACAGAAAGCATGAATGCGTTGTCAGAAGTGGAAAACAACATACCAATAGAACAAATTTCAATTATCTGAATTCCAAAAATATTTTAACTCTTCTGGATCCTTCAGTTTATTTCATGCATAACTGTTACAGAAAAATAGAGCTAATAGTGCTAGATGTGGATGATAAATTTTGTTATGAAAATGTCTGCTGTTAAAGGTTAGAGTGTGCCCATATAATGTTATATTGTGTTGAATCACCCTAATTTCACACTTCATTGGAAGCTTATGGAGCAGTGTTAAGGGATGAATCATTTGTAATCAAGGAGAGGGATTGAAAGACAGTTATCTGCGACATTTGATGATTACTGTCATGGCAACGTGTATTTATAGGCGTTTTGTGTTAATCTTTATGGATTGGATATAGTTTTTGCAACCCGAGGTTGTGTGGTGGTTGTGCCTGAGCTTGTGAGGGTGTGTTGATTGTACGACTATGGGCTGAAAAAAAAACATATCCATAAAGGTTTTATCATATACCTTATAGTTGTAATTACAATTTTACCATAGTGTAACCTTCACCTTTTCACCCCAGTTCCCTCTTTTCATCACAAATTCACAAAATACTGTAGAATACTTTATTTTTGCTTGGAATTTATTTATATATACATTTTTTCCTATATTTCACATTAAACTCATCAAAAATCAGTGAAAATAAATTCCATACAAAACGCCCAAAAAGCCTTTTCAGCGAAAATTAATTCCAGCGAAAATAAAGTATTCCACAGTAGTCCATTTTGTAGTCTGCATTTCCCTTCAAAAGATTATGACAAAAATAGCAAAATTTTTGAGTAAAAACTGAAAATTGATTGAAAAGTTTTGTCTGTTCGCTCCAAAAATAAGGTTCATTTCCAGAAATATTGAAGAATATAAGAAAAAAGTGCAGAAAAATTTGGGTGAGAAAGTCTGGTGGTGAAAAAGATTAAACATACAGCAATGACTTACTGCAAGTTTATTGTTGGTAGATATTTTTTCAAGTAATTCTGTTCTGAAATGTTGTTTTATCCTTGGAATTTTCCAATTTAGTTCTGTACTTGCTGGAATTAATTTGTGCTGAAAATACATGTTGTCTGAAGTTCATTTTCATTGATTTTCAGGGAAAATAAAGTACTTTTACAGTATTATCCACCCCCCCCCCAGTATTTTTAATTGTCTTCCCTAATGACGTGATGAGGGATGGAATGAGGTGACTAGTGTAAGATGGCTGCGTTATCAGCATATTTTACTGGTGTTTCTAATAATTATTTTTATTAAACAGACAAATAAATACAAAATCAACACATTAGGCCACTGGAGTTGTCAACTTGTGCTTTATGATATCTTGGGTGGGTCAAAGGTTGTGATCCTAAGGTCTTTTAGCATTCATTTTAGTGTGTGGTTTCTTTTGTGATTGGTGAAAGATTATTTGACACAATGAGGGATAGACCAAATTGTTTAGTGGGGTGGTTTATCAATGAAAACAACAAACATAATTTTTGAAGGATTAGAGCATCCTATTTTTACTAATTTGTTTTGGTCTTATTTTGGCAAAAAAATTTTTTGCCACCGTATGCATATACTGCAGAACTGGAAATTTCTGTGCAAATTAACTTTCTGAAAGAACCAAAAGTAGTGTTATTCCAAGTTTAATTTTTGAGGAAAAAATTTTTGCAAGATGCTTGCACTTTAATATAAATTTCAGTAATGGTCACCTGAAAATAATAATCTATATTTCACAAATGTTCCATCAGAGGATATGAATATATGTATGAGTGTACAAACACAGAGTGCTTTAATTTACAAAATAAATCTGCCATTGAATAAAAAAAAAACAGCGCCACTTTTATTTTTTTAACAAAAACAAAATATATGCTTTTATAATGCTTTAGAATTATGTCTATGTTGGGAGAGACTCTATGATACTTTCATGCTACATGTATAATTTATGAGTGTCAACCAACTTTGTGGTGAACATTGATATTTGTCTAGCTACCTATCATGGTCCTCTTGTAACAGAATTGATGAGTACTACATATTATTTGGTGATCCAAGATGTGTGGAATCTCAATGCTTTCAATAAATCTATACAAAGTTGTTACAACAAAGTCATCTGGGCCATCACCTACATCTTAAAAAAAATCTGTTTAGATTAACATCACCATTTCTTCTAAACAATTATTTAACTGTTTTCAATTACAATGACAGTACAGTGAAGTATCGACCCACCCCCCACTTTTGAGCATTTTTTGCGAAGCACACAATGGGAGTCGTCGCAGTTACCCTGTCTGTATGTGTGTGTGTGTGTAATATCTCAAGAACAGTATGTTGGTTTTTAATGAAACCTGGCGTATAGATGCTCTGGGCTAATGGACAGATTTGATTAGGTTTAGGTTGAAATCCATGCATATTAATTACCTAATTTGCATGATAATTAGCTAATTTTTAGCTGTTCTTTGACTGTTCCACTGATATCTAAAGAGCCATTCATTAGATTTTGATGAAACTTGGTACATAGATGCACAGATGTGATTAGTCACAAAATATTCCTGTATATAGTCTGCTCTTTCCTTCAGAAGAGATACAATGTAGCTACATTTTTTGAGTAAAAACAGATAATTGACTCAAACTTTGTCTGTTGGCTCCAAAATTAGGATTTATTTCCAGAAATATTGAAGAATATAAGAAAAAAGTGCAAAGTAGGTTAAAGTAGAAAGATGTAATTTGAGATTTGAGCAATAGTTAGACCTCAACTTGATGTTGCTTGTAAAAGTTAAATGAAAATAAATGTAAAGTAATCTAGTACAGCTGCTTAGGCTGAGAAAAAAAAAAACCTCTGTTTCTCGTTTCTGTGTGCATCATTTTGAACTATGCGTTTGTTTTCGAAAATGCGCTTGCACTCGCACTCGTCTCAAATTTCTCCCATTTTAGCTCAGTATTCAAAAAAAAAAAAAAAATGCCTCGAGAAACAGAGAATTTTTTTTTACCCGGCCTTAGTGTGGCAGACTTTATAGACAGAGCTGGGTCATTACTTTATCTCTCAGAATAGATGTTGTCAATTGTTGTTGCCATGGAAACATCCAAACTGACTCTCTCTTCTTTTTTCAGGCTGGTATGGATGATGAAGTCAGAGCAAACACAGAAATTAATGAAACTATTGCTACAGATAAAGAGGTAACAACCTACCCTCCCTTTATAATGTTGGTATCACCCTGAAATTGGTGTAATTTTAGTTTAATATGACATGCGCATGAAATTGAGCATTCCAGAAATAGGCATACATAGATGGATTTCATTCAAACTTGGTACATATATATATTTACCCATTGTAAAACATATAAGATCCCCTAAGCTACTGAGAAATGTTATGATTTTATCTCAAAAACGCCTTGTATTAGGTGTACTTGAATACAAAATTCATAAAATGAAAAAAGTAAATGTTTCTAAAATTACCTGAATTCATTAGAAAAGTTTTTCAAAAATAAGGCTTAGAGGGAACACTGTACGGAACTAGTATCACATTGCTTTAAACTTTATGATTTAATAGTGCGATCACATCAGCTACCTTTCTAGTCATTTTAGTCCGCATCAAACAAGTCATAGAAGAGGCTTATTATATTGTTCCATTCGTCTGTGCTCTCTCATATGTCTGATATGCACTGATCAATTGAAATATTGTACATAGGCATTGTATTATGGTCGGCAGGTGTATGTTAAGTTTTATCTTCATCCACATTATGTGGGTTTTTGAACAAAAATTGATACAAATATGGAAATACATTGAGCAATTTTTTTTTAATTTGTACAAATATGAATTATAATAAAATACATATTGTATTGATATTTTATGATGATCCATGCATGCACTTTTAGCTAGTGCTTTTGGGCACAATATAGTCATTTTGGGTCAAAATGGGAGTGATTTTTATGGGGTTTTTGCGGGGGGGTATTTGGATATGCATGGGTTAATTGTGTTCAAAGTTTGTATAAAGGCAAATTATAATGGAATACATATTTTACATTTTTTGGTGGTCCATGTGCTTTCAAGTTTTTTGGTCAAAAATTATGTTTACTTTCATTTGGGTATAGATGAAACAATTTTATTCAGGCTTGTTACAAATTTCTACAGAAATTTAATGGTGGTCCTGTTTTTGAATTACTTTTGAGTTAAATAATATGACTTATAAGCAGAAAATGTTTGTATAAAGTTTATTCTATGATTTTATTGAAAATAAGAGCAATCCACCAAATGGCATGTTTGTCCTCTCATTAACCCATGCTAGTGGCATATACCAATGATATCGCAACAGATGTACATGAATGGAATACCACACACTAGTACCCAGCTGTCACATTTTCTTCACCCAATATGCATGTCTACATTTAGTTGCCAACTGGAATGTCTATGTTAAGCATACATGTTCATGTGTACACGTGCCAAACCAGGAAAAATGCCAACCTGTACTCAGCTAGTAATGGTTAATATTGTTACTGTAATTGACTGTTAATACTATTTATAGTATAAATACTGGTATATATAAATGACTTATAGATAATTATAGATACTTTAAAATACATGAATGTCATGTTTAATCTGTTTTCAACCCAAACATGCAAAGACTTGAGGGATAGTATTACAGATGACTATATAGGGCTTGCAGTTGACAACTTAAACTTGTCTGAAATGATATATGTTGGCTATATATTTATGTGTGAGTTAATATTCAGTTGTCTGACAAAACAACATTCAGGACAAGAAAACTATGAGTGAGTTAATATTTAGTTGTCCAAATGTCAATTTCACTTTCCCTGGACCATTGAACTATTCTTTGTTTATATCCTATGTTAATATAATTCAAAAGTTGAGATGCACTTTCCATATTCAAATAAAGTTAAACAAAAGTTCTTTTAACACTTGTTTCAAACAAATCTATGTTTGAACTTAATGACAAAGTTTATGTTTTGGATGGAATGATATAATTCATAAACTGAAAATACCTAAGACTGAAGTGATTCATTACTTTTACAGTTTGCTCTTACAGGTCAACAAACTATTTCATTTATATTACATTGTATTACATTTCATTTTAATACCCTATTCTCTTCATTCCAATACATTGTTACAGTATTGCAATTCATTTCATTTCAATACATTGTATTACAATTCATTCCATTTCAATACATTGTATTACAATTCATTTTATTTCAATACATTGTATTACAATTCATTTCAATACATTGTAATACAATTCATTTCATTTCAATACATTGTATTACAATTCATTCCATTTCAATACATTGTATTACAATTCATTTCATTTCAATACATTGTATTACAATTCATTTCAATACATTGTAATACAATTCATTCCATTTCAATACATTGTATTACAATTCATTCCATTTCAATACATTGTATTACAATTCATTTCATTTTAATACATTGTATTACAATTCATTTCATTTCAATACATTGTATTACAATTCATTTCAATACATTGTCATACAATTCATTCCATTTCAATACATTGTATTACAATTCATTCCATTTCAATACATTGTATTACAATTCATTTCATTTCAATACATTGTATTACAATTCATTTCAATACATTGTAATACATTTCATTCCATTTCAATACATTGTATTACAATTCATTCCATTTCAATACATTGTATTACTTAAATTTAATTTCAATACATTGTATTACAATTCACTTCATTTTATTACATTGTTTTCTTTAGAATTCCATTGAAACGTGATTCACATACATAAATGTTTTCAATAGAAAAGAAAACAAAACTGTTAAACTATATAGAGTTACATGTATATAAAAAAATGTATACATTTTCTCCAAAATTTGATCCAAATGTAATTAAAAAAGTCAAGTGCACTGGTAAACCCTTTAGAATTCTCTTCAATATTTTATTAAATTCCATTAAAATTCTTTAGAAATGTTTTAGTAAAATTGAATGTTTCTTAATGTCTAGATATGTATTTTGTACAGCAATTAGAATTCTAAGAAAACATTTTCTATAAAATAATATTCTGGTAAATTTCAGTAGAAATCAATATAATTTTGTAAAATGCTATAGAATCCAGTAGACTATTTTTGTATGGAGACATTGTCCCTCTCATGAAAACCGTATTGTACTGATCGGGCTTGTTTATGACAATAGGGGCTTTGCAGGTTTCAAGAGCATGCATTATGTAATGCTGCAGGCTTGTTCCGTGTTTGTGCAGACATGCATCGTCATCAACTCATTTTCCCTCAAATTTGTTTAAAGCGACTGTGAATTTCACGGTTTTATGAGTCAAACATTTTCCTAATAGTACTTAATATTACATTGAATCGTGGTGGTCGTCACCCGCGTGTTCAAATTTCCAATAAATAAACAATGTATTTTACACGCGTTGTATACGTCGCTATGAGTCCCATATCGAACAAGACGCGACACGACGACTACCGCCCTTTAAATGGCTACTTGGAGGGTTGTTCTGAACCATGGCGACAAAGTGTATTGCAGAGTCATTTTTTTTGTCACTTGTCTCAAAAGTATCTCACAGAATTGTTTCATCCTAATCATTGTCAAGATAATAGTCAATTTGGTGTGTTACTTGATGGAAACCTAAAGTGGTATGTACAGTGTAAATACCTATTTTATATATCTAAAGTATACAAAGTAAATGGAGCATTGTCATTGACCACCCATGCAGTCAGTCACAGTGATCAAAGGTTGTGGTACATTCGGAATGTCCAAGTGTAATGTCAATCACAAGTGTATCAGACTTTATGGTTTATCCTGACAGGCCTTAGACACATGTATGTATTAATTGTAGTTAATTTGCATCACTGCTGTCAGTGGGTAACTTGTTCATTAGATACACCTGAATGATTACTGTAAAGTCAGATACAACATCTCTCAAAACACGTCATTTACAGTAAAGATATCATTACTACCCTATACTAAAATATGTTTGGCTATTTAGAGTACTAACAAATTTCTACTTCCGGTCCGGTTAGACTTAAAATACACCACGAATATTCACTTTTTCATAATTTTTGGTATGTGTTGATTCTTGGATATTTTATCTTCGTCGACCTGTACTTCGTTTAGTAATTCAAACTTCCCAGTTTGCGTAAAAAGGGTGAGTTTCACGATTTCGCCATTGAAAATGCCTTTGCTTCATTATTTGCTGAGGGACGGCCGCTTAGGTATGTGCTCTGTAACTTGCAGCAAATGAACCTAAAAACGTTAGGTAATTAAACAAAAATGACCTTGTACTAAAGTCCAAAAAGTACGTTCATACAAAGAAACATAAATAAAACGTAGAATGATTTTAGCGAATCAGTTTGACAATAAAAAAAAATGCATTAACTTGTCTTATCAAGTGACATGCTGATGTCTTCAGAAACTGGCAGCTGTCAAGACTACATTGACACTTAGCTTTCTCCTTCCATTCACATACTGTCACCTATTTCTTTGCAATAACCTGTTATTCAAAATCCTGATGACAGTGGCGATCTAATAATTAATAAAAAACAATTTTAGAAACATAAATGCACTTATAAGCTTCTATTTAATTTTCCCATTGATGTAATTATACAGATTTAAGTTTTCTGGTTTTGTTTGATTTTCTCCATCAGTTGTCTGAGTAGAACATATACATAATTTGTACTGACACTGACTATCAAGCCATGACTATTTAGTCAGCTGTTTGTATAGTAATGCCCTCAGGCAAGGTATTCTTTACTTTCATGCTGATGGGTGCAAAGATGATATCCTTTTAACCCAGCATTAAAGGGCACTATACATAGGCACTGTACATATTTATACTCTCATATAGTCTGTAAGAGGGATTTCCTTAACTCCAGAGTAATGGTCAATATCAAATTACATTATGCCTGGTACCTGATGATTGGTGATAGCCAATGGACCTAGTAATTGGTTTGAACTGCTAATCTGAGATCTAGTGAAACTCTTCGAGCAAGCAGTGTGGGTCTTTTAAATTCTTCGTAATTGTTGATGAGCCAGTTGCCTACATGGTGTTTGGTGGTTGTATTCCTAGTTATTGGTGATGGGCCAGTTGCTTACATGGTGTTTGGTGGTTGAATTCCCAGTGATTGTTGATGAGCCAGTTGCCTACATGGTGTTTGGTGGTTGTATTCCTA